GACCTGCGAAGAGGTTATTCGCAGGTACCACTCGAGTCTTCTTTGCGCCTGCTGACAGCGTTTGCGTGTCATCGCGGACAGTTTGCCTGGATGGTAATGCCCTCCGGGCTTAAAAACGCTGCTCAAACATTCCAGAGGGCAATGAACGAACTGCTAAGGCCACACAGCTGATACTGCTGTGCATACCTGGATGATATGACCGTTTTTAGCGAAACGCTCGAAGAGCACGCGGAACACCTGGGGCGGGTGTTTGAGACCCTAAAGCGGGTTAACCTGAAGGTCAAGAGGGATAAGTGCCAGATAGCTCGTCCATCGATACGGTATTTGGGACATGTGGTAGGTTCGGGACTGCATGCACCTGACCCTGAGAAGCTTGCAGCAATCAAAGGTTTAAAGGCGCCGGAGACTAAAAGAGAAATACGCAGCGTACTGGGCCTGTGTGGCTACTACCGAAGCTATGTGAAAGATTACGCAGAGGTAGCGAGGCCCCTGACAGAGCTAACGGGGAAGCGGATCCCGCACCGAATTCCGTGGTCCGCGGAAGCTGAAAGGGCGTTTCAGCGGCTTAATATCGCACTGTGTGAGGCAGCAGCATTATCGACCCCAGATCCCGAGAGACCGTATTGGCTATTTACAGACGCGTCCACGGTCGCGGCTGGAGTCTGCCTGTCGGAACGTGCGGACGATAGTACCGAGATGCCGATCGCATTTGCGAGCCACAAGTTCTCTCCAACTCAAACGCGCTGGTCGACTATTGAGCGAGAGGCCTTTGCAGTCACCTGGGGTCTGAAAAGGTTTGATTTCTGGCTCTTCGGTGCACAGGTTACCGTGCTGTCAGACCACAACCCACTAGCTTTTCTCACCCAGGGCACTCTTCCTGGGGCTAAGCTTACCCGTTGGGCCTTGGCGTTTCAGCGGTATCATGTAGTGGTGCAGCACAGGAAAGGCATCGAGCGTGGCAACGCAGATGCGCTTTAGAGGGTGCCGAATGAGTGCTGGGGAATCGGCAGCGGTGCTCCGGGGGTCGAGACACTAGAGGACTAGGTGTATGGTGGACACTCAAGAGTGACGTGCGCGAACCTGTGGACAATTGAACAGCACCACGCATTGAAAGGTCTATGTGCCTCAGTGAAGTGTATTGTTTCTCTTGTACGTGTGTGTAGCATGCAGGAGTTATTGGTATTTTGGTTGAATTTGAACAGCACCATGTGCGGAAGTGTGCGTTTTTCAGTGGAGTGTTTTTTTTTGTGTGTATATGTACGACTGTAAGCATGTATAAGCTTGTTGTGGTTTGACTTGCCTGATTTATAGATTGTACTTGTGTACACAGTGACCCCGTGTCAGTTTTTTTTCTTTTTTTTTTTTCTATGTGGTGGCGTCCGTTTGGTGGGGCCCCAAGGGTTAAGCAGAGAAAGTATTGCACGCGTTGCAGAAACGCCTCTGGCGTTCAAGGAACTGCGAAGTGTGGCCACAGGGTTGGGGACGTGCGGTGCCATACCTTCATGTTGTTATTCGCGTAGCTGCATTTGAGCGCTTGCGCGAATTTTGGACAAGGCGTGTAAGGTCTGGCGTCGCAGGCCATGAAAGCGAGTCTTCTCGGTCTCAAAAGGGCGCGCTTCCCAAAAAGCCGATTCTCAGGAGACGATAATCTCGGCGTAAGCGCGCCCCTTCTGGCGAGAATACCGCGGTCAGTCGCCGCTTCTAGCAACCAGCTAAATGGTCCCCGGACTGCGTATTGCCAGCGGGTGACGTGAGGACAGTGCATAGCCACCCATCCGTCAAGATTAGAGTCCGCGGGATGGCTGTCGTGCTGGACAGCGTAGTCATCTCGCGGTAATCCAGGAGGCCCGCAGCCGACCGGTGCCACCATTGTGTGCGTTCGCACAGTTCGCGGAACTTTGTGTGCAGGCCGGTCCTTTCATCTCTCGCTTTCCAACCGAGCAGTCGAGTGCTGGAAGAAGAGAGCGAGAGGAGGGGACGGCAACAAGTGTGTTGTCTGTCCAATAAACGGACTAAATTGCTTTGGTTGGCCGTGAGGAGAATCGGGAGGGGCAACCGAGGTATTAAAACCTGGCTTCCGAGTCCTCGCGGGGGGTTCTGGTCGCAGCAAAGAGTGCTCTGCACTATCGGCTCTGCCGAGGCAACATGCGACGGTTCCGACGGTGAAGTCTTGGTAAATATGTACATAAGTTTCTGTATATAAAGTCAAGTTGGTGTAACGTTCGAAATGTGCTGGCTTCCATCCCCGAACAAGCAGCAGCAGCCACGACAAGACAAGACGGACACCGAGAAGCAACAAACCTTCCACTCCCTTCTGTAGCAACAGCCGCTACGCAGCTGGGAGAGCTCTGTTCAAGGGAACAGAGGAAGTGGGTAGAAAGAAGGTTGAGTTTTACTCAACCATAAGTGTTTCTCACCTAATGCTGTACTGTTATTTCCATAAGTATATAATACATATTTCGAGGGAAAAACAAGCATGTTTGTTTTCATGTGTTGTGCAAAATAAATAATTCATTAAATCTTGACGCCAAATCTTGAGCGCAATAGCAGAAAGAGGCATACCCTGATGGCTGAATTTGCCCAGGTTTCACTTTTGCCACCTGGTCACAAAAACATTTCACAATAAAGTATGCGTACAAATAATTGAAGCAAGTTTCAATTAAATCTAAGTTCACATCACTTTGTTTTACACTTGGAAAAGAAGTGACACAAATCTCAAGAACACAATCCATTCGAAGCGGGTCTGAAGCCTGTACTTCCCATAATTCCCATGGGGGTACAAGCACCGCTGAAGGAGCTCGTGTAGACATTAGCGCCAGATGCCCCTCCAGGTATTATTGTATGAAACTCTATGTCACGGGTGAATTGGGAGAAAGGTGCCGGTAGCTGTAAACAGGTAGACATCAACAAATGACCCTACTTATTTCTGAATTGTCCAGCTGGGTACATGAGAGTGCTCAGCTTATCTATGCCATGAATTTTAATAATTCAAGCATCACAAACCCAAGCAGACATTTCCAGCTTGAAAAACCAAAATCACGCACAAAAGTGCATGCTCACACCAGCCAACCTATGGACATTAATATTCTCTAAATCCTAACGAACAAGATTTTTATACAGGTCTGCAAGTTAGATGAAGCCACTAATGTGTGATATCTAAAAGCAAGGTTAGGTAGATTTTATTGGAAGAAAGCACAAACCCATTTCACGCTCTTCAGAAAGTACCAATAACAAAAATTTTCTACGGCAAGTAGCTCGTCAACCAAGATAACACGCTGCCGCGATGGCTCAGCAGTTGCGATGCTCCACAAACGCTGGAGGCCCAAGTACTGAGCAACGCCAGTGTATATTAAAGAACCCAAGGTGGTTATCCAGACCCTTCCACTACAGCAGCTCCCATAGAGTCAATTTGGGACGTGAGAACTCTAGAAGCCAACTAACTAGAAAAATGCTGCTTGGTCAGTTTCAGGATATAAGAAACAAGCTCTCCTGAGTTCTTTATATATAGAAGTATGGCCAACACTAATGAGAGCAGCACCTCCACTTACAAAGTGTCCAAATTGGCTGCAAGCAGCCCAAAATCTCTACAATAGCATGCATTTTCTAACGATATTGCTTGTGCCATGAAAATTCACAGCCTGACTGTTGATAGTGCACAGGCTATCACCAAAGCTACAAGTTCAGTATGAACTAGCCAGGCATCGATGCCTGTTAAATTGCAGCACATTCACCTGCATTACCAAATCCTATCATACAACTTAGTTTTCAGGACACTTAAACAAAGCTTATATACACAAGAAATAAAAGGAAGTCTCGGTTCTGCTTATTTCCTGCCTTTGTTCTTTTAAATTTCAACACGAAATGCTTGAAAATGATTCACAATTTCCTAAACCTACCTATAGACCTGACCTCGGGTGAAACTAGTGCACAAGAAGTCAATGCTCCAGCGCTTGCACAAATCGCTTAACTGTGATACCCTCCAAGACACAAACAATGGACTTTTTAATCCCACTGTTTTCCATGCAACAGAGATATGATGCAATCACCTCAACTGTGCCAAAGCTACTATATGCGACACTTTCCCACGAAGAACTATAATAACCCAGATAAGTCAAGCATTGAACAACAAGCACTATGCTGGCAAAAAACTTAATTGTGCCCGTCGCATTGCCTCGAACTATTCCAAGTGCAAGCGTGGAAAAACTTAGACATTTACTCGCCGGTATGATATGAAAGGTCCACTAGCATACATGATCTTTTTGACTTCGCACACTTCCACGATTATCTTGAACATGTGGATGTAAAAAGTTCCTACTGTAGCTGAAGCCAGTGACTCATTTTACAACACAAGTGCTACTAACCTGCCACGACAAAGACGTACGCCACAAAATAAAGCACACGCTAATCGTGTAAAGCATAACAGGTATGCGAAGTAAAATCGCATAGCTAAGGTATTTATTGAACTTTCTCGCACAAGAACACAACCACACTGTCAGAAGCCTCTCACAAACTTGTTAAAGCGACACCGACTCCACCAACCCTCAATTTATCACCAAGTTTACGACATACCGCTCCCTTAAACGTCTTCGGCTACCTGCCAGTTCAAAATGACGTGCGATTTATAATATAATGGCTACAGTAGAACACTCCGCAAAGTTTCAAGTTCCGCAATAAGCACGTTTACCGCGAATGCGCTATAGTTTGGTTCGTTTACTCGTTCCGTTACAGACAGCTGAGTCGGTCACGAATCCTCAATCCGCACCGCTGCCTCTCAAAGAACCCAGTTTTCTGTGCACGATTGCGCTACGTGGTCGAAGACAGCAGGGGCAGGCTGGGCAGCTGTTGGTACCACTGAGAAAGCAGTAGCCGTTCGTGCAGTCGCGTGCAGACATGCGGAAAGCGACCACACAACGAAAAATTGCAGCCTACCGAGTCGCAGAAAAACGCGGCAACTCGATATATCACGAAAAGCAAGCTGACAAATCGCGTCGTGAACTTACCGTCAAGCTGCACGTCGCTCATGTCTACTGGAAAGAAAGCAGAAATGTGGCAGTTAGCAATGTGGCCAGAAATTGGGACAATATCCGCGCAGTGCTTGTGGGGGTAGAAATACCTTTAGGCAACCCGAGAGCGGCTTCGAGGCGCTCGGTAAGCTCGCTTTTGTTCCCCGCAGTGGAAAGGCCCCGGGCCTTGAGTTCTTTCTTTAGGTCAGCGACCTGCGATAACAACACGGAAAAACGCGTTGGTTGACCAACTAATGAGTACTAGCTTTCAAATAAAAAGAAACGGTTATCCCAGCAAAAACGAAGCCACGGTATGTCTTCGGTGTTCGCGGGGCGCGCCATTCATGGGAGCTCTAGGCTACGAAGAGGAAGCCATAAGCTTACATTTAGCTAATGTTATAAGCGTAGAGGGAAACGCGAAGTTCTCACAAACTTACCTTCATGTTACGAACTGACTCCGCATCTACTACGTCCACGCTGTCCGCCATGGTAAACAATTTCTTTTATTTATCTCTACCCATGCTCTACCTTAGTTGCCCGCAGAAATCGTCAGATGCCCCCACGCGGGGAAATAATCAACAAGACCTTGAGTCCTACTTACAGATTTCTAAGGCCATGCTTTTGTACGCTACCAGCACTTGAAAAAAACGACAGATTTACGTAATGAACGCTATGTTTGATACGACTCAATAAACTACACCAGTTACAACTTATTAAAAACAATTGTGTGTAAATGGTGTAATATATTACCGGTACAGTCAAATTTAAAAACTGTTTTGTGTGTTGTAAATTATATTGGTGCTAGGCTTGTGACGTGGACGCCGTCTGGAAACATTGAAAGTTACACACGCGCGCGCGCGCTTTTAATACCTTCGAAAAGCGTCGCATTGTATGGCGTTCTTTCGGCTATTTCAGCAAACTGGCGTTTCGATGGCAGTATACGTTCGGTGAATTAGACGTTTTATAGATTTTCAGATAGACGACAACGCTGCGATCGCGAAACTCTTCTTTGGCGTGAAAGGAAACAAATGGCTTCCGGCAAAGACGTCTCGGGCGACTGCGCACAACCGGCACTAGACCCTTTCAAGATCGACTGGCTCGACCTTTCGTCGTTCGGCTACCCAGACTCGCTTGGTCTAAGCGCGCTTCCCGGCTGCAGGTTCAAGGAGACGTGGAGGGACGTTGCACGAGACGTCGAGCACCTCAAGCTGGAGGACATCAGCGACGTGTTCGTGCTGTGCACTCGCGGCGAACTGTCCCTCTACCGGGTCCCGACTCTGCTCGCAGAGTACGAGAAGCACGGAATGACCGTGCACCACTACCCCGTGCTGGACGGAATGCCTCCCGCCATCGGCCAAACGCTGGACATACTGCGCGAAATCGGCGACATCATCCAACGTGGGAAACGAGCACTGGTCCACTGCTTCGGAGGTCTTGGACGCACGGGTGTAGTCGCCGCCTGTCTCCTCCTCAACTTGGACGACAACATGGCGCCCGAGTGCGCTGTTCGCAAAGTGCAAGAGCTGCGGGGCAAACGTGCCATACAGACAGTGAAGCAGTACAATTTTATTCACGACTTCAGGCAGGCTCGGGACGAGTACCTGAAAACGCTTGGCGACAACGCAAGCGCATAGACTCTGCTGTTCTGGCAAGATGGGACTCGGCCAGGGGTCGCAATTACAGGCCTTCGCTAAAATTGAACGCGGGAGCGTTATGCCCTTGTCACCACTTGTGCGTCATGTGTTACTGTGCATAGAATACGTAACGCAAATGACGGGACAGGCAGTGCTGTGCGCAACGTGCAATTAGCTGATGACATGCAAACACTGTTGGGGAATGCATTCGGCAAACTTTTTAACTACAAGGAAGTGCCAGAGTAGTCTGCCTCTGTTAATGAGCACGAACTGCCGTGTTCTCTAGGTTATGACTCGAGGCACTTGACCTGTGGAGAACCTCATGTTCTGAATTATAAGTGCATGAGACGTGTATTCTAAGACCGGTGAAAGTATTCAAAAATGAATTGTTTGTTCTGTGTTTGTAACTAAATAAATTTGCCAACAAACTGATGTTTTGTAGTTTGTAAAAGTAGACAACGTAACCTTTGGGTTATAATCCCAGGTCTATGCTGGCACGGTGATTGAAGTGTTGCACAACTGTCCGGACAGCTGTGAATAATATAGTGGCTCGATCACAGGGAAGACTTTATTTTTATACATCAAACAAGGCGGGACCCACAGCCTGAAAGAGAATTCGTTGTTTTACAAAGAATGCACTACTTCTTTGCTGCAGAGTAGACACCAACTGTGACAAGCTCCTTCTGTTGTATCATGATGTCCCTGCACACAACAAAGCACAGATTAATTTTTGAAAGCTCTCAACTGCACATACCAAGCCCTTTTTTGGCACTATCAACACAGTGTGTGTATCATAGTTACATAACATAAGACCGAGAAGAGAATAAGACGCTAGTGTCCTTCCAGGTCTTCCGAAGCGGCGCTTTAACCAACATGGGAAGTACAGATTTGTGATATGCTTAGGATAAATTGCATGCTTGAGATTAGCGGCACTTGTTTACCAAGTGAAAAAACGAAGTGATACGAAGTTATTTCTGATTAAAAATTGCTTTTACAGCGAAAGCTGTAATGAGATTACAACTCTGGTCACACGCGGTTGTCCAACGCCGGTGTCCGTAACCACATCACGCGCAAATAGAAAAAAAAAAAACCTAGCACCAATGACACAGTGGGGCTTGAACACAGGTCAGCTGGGTGCCAGCCCAGTATTCTGCCAGTAAGCCACACCGGTGCTTGGGGCTTGTTGGCAAACTTGCCTTAGGCAGGCTTGATGTGGGGAAAGCAATCGGGTTAATACGACTTATAAAGCATTTTAAAAGAGCGAAAGAACCAGTCGTCGCACAATGCGAATAGTGTAACAAGCGGGCCGTCCACTGATCCAACCCATTACAAAAGCCGTTCTTGTTCCCCTATTAACTGTGGCACATACCCACTTCAGCCATAAATCCTCATCGTCATCAGCAACTGCATGAACAATTTGCACAAAATTCCTTGCAAGTGTTAAGCGTATACCACACTTCTCAGAAGAATGACGAAAAATAGTATAGCGAATGTAGGCTTACTACCCAAAAAATTTTATTATTAAAGCCCTAGTGGGTATCAAGCACGTGTGCTTGCAGTAGCTACCCAATGAGAGTTTCGAAAAAGGCTTTGAAAGGCTGCTCTTCTAGCTTTCCCTGTGACTGTGCTGTGCCTTTCGCACAGGCCTGGCGTTTTTTCATTATTATTATTGTTACAAAAGGTGCGCGTGACCGTGAGATAGAAACGAAACAAATACAAATTCAACCAGCAGGGTATCATGCATTTCTCCACAATAGTATTCCATATTTCCACAAACAATGCTGGTTTTTCACTTACTATGCTCGGCGACAGCTTTTATTAACAGCATTGTGGAAACTACTGAACCAAAGCACATGCCGGCTATCGTGCCAGAAGAAGAACATAAACTTTATTTGTCGAATCCAGACGATTCGAGTCCGGCGTTTTTTAGTAGGCCTGGGCACCCACCGCGGATGCGGTTCCGAGACCTTGTCTCGAAGCGGCTTCCTCGGCACGCTGGACGGCCCAGAGTTGTGCTGTCAGGTTCGAGCTGAGCAGTGCGGCCTTCCAACGCGAGCGGAGACTGGCGGTGGAAGAGTGAGATGAATCGGCACTGTTTGAAGTGTTTATTAGGCCCTGACACTCCCACAGCATGTGACTAAGGGTGACAACCTCGCCACATGACGTGCATCTGTTTGTAGTGTATATGTCTGGATACATAGCGTGCATGAGTCTAGGGTTTCTGTATGAATCTGTTTGGAATTGTCTGAAGTGTACCGCTTGCGCTCTGTTTAGCCTTTCGTGAGGAGATGGGTATATGCGTCTTTGTAACTGGTAATGTGTGGTGATGTCGTGAGACCTGGTCATACGATCCTCCCATGCCCAGATGTCTGCAGTTCCCCGCGGGGGCTCGTCGTCCTCCGGCGATGCTCGGTGAGTGAGGCCTCGAGCAACGCGGTGAGCCGCTTCGTTGGGGGTGCTCAGTCCGGTATGTGCCGGGATCCATAACAGGTGCCTTCGGTTATCGAAGTCGACCTCTCCTGGATGTATGGGATGTCGTTGGAGTATGTGAAACGCCTCTTGCAAGATGCATCCGTTGGCAAAATTGCGAATTGCTGTTTGCGAATCACTAATCACGTATGTGGCATTGGTCTGTGTGAGGGCCAGTGCTATAGCCGCTTCCTCTGCCACTTCAGCGTGTGCCGTGTTCACAGTGAGGCTTGTGATGTACTTGCCACGATGGCCGGTAACTACCGCCACGAAACTCTTTTTATTGGTATAACGCGCAGCATCAGTGAAAACCGCTTCAGTGTCGTTGGAGTAGCTTTGAGTAATGCGTTGTGCCCTGGCTTTACGCCGTCCCGTATGGTGTTGGGGGTGCATGTTGCGAGGCAATGGGGGTACGTATACTTGCTCGCGTACCGATCTTGGAATTTCGACTTTGATGCCGTGCTGCGTATGGTACGTGATGCCAAGTTCTTCGAGTAGGTGTCGGCCTGGGCGGGTCTTGGATAGGCGCTCGAGCTGGGAAACTTGTTGCGCCTCCACGAGTTCCTCGAGGGTGTTATGCAACCCTAGCTCTAGGAGTTTGCTGGTGCTAACTCCGGGCGCCAGTCCCAACGCGAACTTGTACGTCTTGCATATCAGGGCGTTAAGCTTGTCTTGTTCCGCAACTGTCCATTTGTGAAACGGTGCCGCGTACATTAGTTGTGAAATAACAAAGGCTTGTATGAGTCGTATGACGCTGCCTTCACGCATGCCCGCATGTTTGTTCGTGATGCGTCGGATGAGTTGCATCGTGCTGGTGGCCTTTGCCATTATCTTGCGCAGTGCTTCACCATTGCCGCCGTTCTGCTCAATCATCATCCCCAGTACCCGGATCTTCTTTACCATTGGGATTGGCGAGCCGTTTGATGATGTTAGTTTGATTTCTTGTATTTCTGAAAGTACGTAGTTTTTGGGCGGGCGTCCCTTTTTCACCGGTCTATATAGCAGTAATTCGGATTTTTCGGCCGAGCAGGTGAGTCCCGTGCCTACGAGGTAATGTTCCACGCATTCTATGGCCGCCTGTAAGCGATCCTCGATCTCTCCGTCACTGCCAGTTGTCGTCCAGATCGTAATATCATCCGCGTATAGCGTGTGGTGCAGTCCATCAATTTGATGTAATCTCTCGGGTAACCCCAGCAGGACGAGGTTGAAGAGCATCGGCGAGATCACCGAGCCCTGCGGTGTACCCGAGCTTCCAATGTTAATTTGATTTGAATCTAGCTGTCCCACTCGCATGCGTGCGGTTCTTCCCGTGAGGAAGTCTCTGACGTAGTTGTACACTCGCATTCAGAGGTTCAATCTGTCTATTTGTCGCAATATGGCGTCGTGACGAACGTTATCGAAGGCCTTCTTCAGGTCCAGGCCAAGGATGGCTCTCGTTGAGCACCCAGGATTTTCTATGATTTGATGTTTTAGTTGCAGAAGAGCATCCTGTGTGGAGAGATGCCTTCTGAACCCAATCATTGTGTGTGGTAATAGGTTGTTGTCCTCGAGGTAATCTGTTAGTCTATTGAGGAACGCATGTTCCATCAGTTTACCTACACATGATGTTAGGGAGATAGGGCGCAGGTTCTGCAGCTGCTATTTCTTGCCGGGTTTCGGTACAAGTATGATCTGCGCTTCTTTCCATTGCTGGGGTAACTTTCCACGCACCCAACACTCGTTGATATAATCTTTGAGTTTCTCTAGCGATCTGTAATCGAGGTTGCGCAGTGCCCTGTTCGATATTCGATCTAGGCCTGGGGCTGACTTGGTATTGAGTTCGACGAGGGCCGGCTCGATTTCGGAAATTGAGAATTCTTCGTCTAGGATGGCGTTGCCTTCTCCCCTGTAGTCCGGATGTACTTGCGGGGGCGTTTGGGATATGTAATGGAGTTCCGCTTCCCGTAGGAAATCTTGCTCCGTTCCTCTGTAAGCGTGTATGATTTTGCATATGTTTTGCCTCTGTGAGGTCTTGGTGTTCGCGGGATCTATGAAGTACCGCAGTATCTGCCATGTGCGACTCGTAGTAAGCTGACCATCCATCTGCGCGCATTTCTCTTCCCATTGCTGTTGTTGCAGGTTAAGTGCGTGCTTTTCTATTTCTTTGTTGAGCTGTGCTATTCGTTTTCGCAGTCTCCTATTATGTCGTTGTCGTTTCCAACGGCGATGCAGTTGGGTCTTGGCTTGCCACATGTGCAGTAACCGGGTGTCTATTCTATCAAGCCCAGCTGTTGACGGTATCATTTGCGTCGCCCTCTTGATGTCGCGCCGAAGTTGCTCGGCCCATTGCTCAATGTTTTTGATGTCTTCAATCTGTTGCTTGTCTCGATTTTTTCGTAGTAGTTCCCAATCTTCATTTGGCAACCGGCATTGTGTTCCTGTGGGCCGCCTTCTGCTTGTATAGAGATAATGTAATGGTCACTGCCCAAGTCTTGCATGGTGTTTCTCCAAGTCACCTTTCGTGTATTGCACATAAAGGTAAGGTCAGGCGTGGTGTCTGTGCTGACGCTGTTGCCCTGTCTAGTTGGTGCCGCTGGGTCAGTGACCAGCTCGAGGCCGGCGAGTTGCGCCGTTTCCCACAAATGCCTGCCTTTCGGCTGATCGTGTTTGTAACCCCACGCCGTATGCACCGCGTTGAAGTCGCCTCCAATGAAGAGTTGTTGACCCTGGGCGATATCGAGTGCTCGTTTGAAGAGGACGTGAAAGCGGTGTTTGCGGCATCTCGGACTGCTATAGACGTTGAGTACGAAGATGCTGTCGGGTTTCTTACGCGGTGGAATTAGCTCTACGAGGACGTTTCAATATCCTTGACATGGGTGTCGTGTTCGATGACCGTGAGCTCTCGCTTGACCAGTGTGGTTACGTTTGGATTTTCCTTCTTGCCTGTTATAGACTGGTACCCTGAAAGTTTGGCGGGGCCGTTT